ATCCGTAAATCCTCCCAAGAAAGCGTACTGAAGTTTTTTTATCTTACTGGATTTCGTATGAACGGAGGACGACGAATTATGAGCAAAGAGATGTATGGTTCAGATGATACTTGATACAGTGGTTGGCTGGCGTTTTGGCATTATGATGTTGCCAAAGCTTGAATATTATATTGTTATTTAGATGATCACACCTGTAATTGTTATCATTGATGTTTTATTCCCTTAAGGGAACTTTTGATGACGAAGATAATGGTGTTGTTTCTGTTATCCAAATAGTTTCGCGTTGGCACTGGAGGTACAGAGAGTAAAGGAGCTTGATTGAAAAGCACTGATTAGAAAAGCATTCGTTTACATTCCGTATAATAATCTATTCCATCTTTGTTTTGCATGCGATCATGCAAATGAAAGAATCGTTACCTATTTCACATGATCATATCGTTTTCGATGCTTAAACGACAACAACACGTCAAGCGCGGTATAAGAGATGTCTTTAAACCGCCATTGCTATTTCCATATTTGTCTTGTTCATACGCAATAGCATAGACTATTTAGGAATCTTCTTACTTATCCATCGGTAGCTTTCGCATTTTCATATTAGGACAGATCTATTGCGTGGCTGAACAAAAGGTTCTTAGTCGTCAGCAGGCAACCGTTTACCTTTCTTACCCATGTGATGTTATGTGTTAGTCACCGGTCTTTCGTTATAACTGCTTCGATGCCTATGTCAGCGACTGAGTAGTCGATTTGGTTTGGTTGCCTCCGTGCAGAAGGTAGAAACAGTCAGGCCTTTTTCGCCTGCACACCTCGGATTCCTGTGGTCAGCTAATGCCAGAACATATCAGTTTTCTGACGCGATCATATATCATATCATGCTCAGCTTCTGTTCACTTTGGACATTACACATTGTCACTCTCATAACTTCGGTTTCTCAGGTTAAATTTGGGACTAAATATTTCATCGCACATTTTGATCCCAACTACCGGTGTTGCAACCCTCCCCCCCTTTTCTTAGATGTTGTGATTAACACTACACCATCCTTCTATCCCCTTCTAGAATCCGCTTTCTCCTGTCGTGTAGAACCTCGAATAAAGCCTCAAAGTTAGTGGCTTAACGATTCATCGCAGTTAGTTTTTGCTTCTTAAAAGGTGCTGGCATGGTTACTTTTGAGCTATACTGTTTAAACGCCGTTTTTTATCGTTGAATACATCTGTTCTCTATCTCTTCATTCATTTTCATCGAGTTAAGAGTTTTTGAAAAAACGTCTGTCTTTCACTGACTGTGATGAGAAGCCGCAACAAAGGTAAATAGGAGATAGCGCATTTAATGGATATGTTAGCATTAATGACATTTATCTTTTTGTGGTAAAATTAAAGAAAGCGTTATTATTCTGCCAAATTCTACAAATCAGCAAATGACTTGATTTACTACCGTATGTGTCATTTTTGCCAGTACGATGATGACAAACAATGTTCACTGAGTCGCTCGAAAATGTGATAAATGGCGATCTGTTTTCCTGTAAATCATAGCCGCAGGCCCTTGAATCAAGCCATCCCACACAGTCCAGTCACTTTCGACATGAAACCGGTGCAAATTTAGAATATTAAATATTAAATGCCTTCAATATAAATTACATACAGTTATTTTAAACGGACAAATTGTTTCATAGCCACGGTGATCAGATGACAGCGAAAAGTATCGTTCGCTATTCAGAGAAATGACAGTGTCAATGAACTAGTTGGCAAAACTGTTTTGCTAAGTTTCCAATGATGCAAGTATAATAACTTTTCTCTATTACTAGTACAAGCAACAAAGAATCCATTTGAACTTCCGTCCATTTTACTTTTAAGCCGTCATCTTCGGTGGAGTGGCAATTGGCGCAGTGAAAGGCTTTTACAGTGCTTTTGTGACGGATTAGTGCGAAACACGGTGGCCTATGTTGTTGCTGTCGCGTTTAATGGTCAAATTTCTTTTCCCACATTTTCGACATAGTTTGTGACACTTAGCGCGGACCCGACTCAGAATCCATCGCCAAAACGCTGCCCAGCGTTGGAACGCTGAAATACGCCGTCGTTCCGTATTGGAGTTTCGCTTTTTGTCCACATACGATGTAACGTTGTAGCAACGAAAGTCGTCGTTAGTGTTAACAAGGGAAATTGGCCAGATGGTACGATGCGATGCTCGGTCCTCTTCTTACTCCTTAAGGCTTCGGACAGCCGAATTTTTTCATCAAACACGTTTGTGCGTTCGAGTGGTCGCAAAGAATAACGTTAAACGCCAGATGCGTCACTTTGCCACCATTCCAAACAGGCCTCAAAGCGTTGGTCGCTAAAGTTTCATTTTGATACTTTCATCATTAACGTCATCTGTTGGTGTGAATCATGGTGCTTAGTCGAAATCCCTTGCGACAACTGGATGTTTGACGAAAAACAGAGAGGTCTGAACTCAAAAACAACTCTGTTTCTTCTACCTTATTGCAGTTGTTCAGTAAATCCGTTGCAATTGTTTTGTTCATAGTTTCGACTATAGTTTCATTGGTCTGCTTTTTGTCACACCGCCATTTATATATTCATTATTGTTATTATGCGTTTTCCTTGATCTGTACCAAAAGACAGATACATTGGTGATCCTGTTCATGGAGTGATCTTTCGGTTTCAATTCATCTGTCGAAATTTCAAAACAAACCAACTTTGCCCCCATCATCATCAGCCTTTGTCGATTCACTGCTGGATGAATGCCTCTCCAAGACTTTGCCATGAACCTCTGTTCTCTGCGATTCTTGTCCCCCTTGATGAAGTGAACTTCTGCCTTTGATTTTGCCGTCGATCTGGATGTTTTCCTGCAGCCCGTTTATTTTCTCTTTGGATCTAGACTAACGTCTCCCTGTTCCAGCGATGTTCCAGCGGTTCTTCGTGCCACCTGTTCAGCTAATTGCCACTTTAACTTCTTCACTTGAACAAAGACATCGCAACTCTTGTCTGTGCCCTAATCCATGCAGTCCTCTTCTTTTTTCTTATTATTACATTTGTCGCTTTTGGTTGGTTCCAATCAGAATTACAGCGTATTTTCTACGTAGCAAAATCCATTTATTAGATCTCGGTAGATAGCGGTTTGCTATAAGCAGATTCTTCAGAAATTAGCTTAAGTTTATTCATTAGTACACATGGTGGATTTATCATCATTCAATACGGTGCGTCTTCACGGGGTGGGACAATGACTAACAGAAATTTCATAGCCAAAATTGGCAAACTTCCTCAATTAGTCTGAGGTAATTCCGTAAAAGAGGACACCCAGAATACTAAATTATGCAGAAAATATGTGGGTGCATCGTCGCTAATAATCCGCTAAGGAAAATAGAGTAAAATTTGTTCTGAATTTTTCGAAAGTTTCTGATTCTGGGACCATAATACACCAATGGACTATTTTCCTGATGCATTTTTAGGACGGTCAAGCGCAAAACAAAGATTTAATGATCGACGCATTTGCTTGTAAACATAAACTACATAATCAAAGTTTCATTCAGTGCTTATGCACGATGTTAAACATTAATAACACAATCTTGACTGATGGTTGTACGCTACTTTCGTCTAATAATGAGATTCTGCGTAGCAGATTGGTGACAGCACCTCGCATCGACTTATATCAAGAATGGCTAGTATTCATTGCATATTTGGGTTTCTTTTCTAACATGTGAGTGGAATTCGTTGTTAACAGCTCTGCCCTGTGTTGCCACTGTCAATAACCAAAATACTCTCTTCTTGGAAATCAGCTAGGTCTTTGAATAATGGCAAGGATGTTATACCTCAGTCAGTCAGTCGGTCCATCACCGTCAATAATTACTTCTAGGTCTTTCAAAGCTTGAAGCTGAGTAACAATGCGGTTTCTACGTTGGACAGTTTGATTGCGGATTATGTTGGCCTTGTAAGAATGGCTTTGGAACTTTGCTCTTGTTTATTCAAGTTGGCCGTCAATGATTTTTCTCTTATTTTCATAAATAAGGTAGAAATATACCTGTCCAAGGTGAGTTCTTGTTTGTACCTCATTATTAGTGACACAACGAAGTTCCCTCAAAGACTGTGCTGCCAGTCTGTCAACTTGCAAACCATTCGGCTTTAGTTCTTGCCTGAATGTAAAGATCATAATGTAATACTTGAACATTTAGAAGAATTTTAGTTGGTAAAGTACCTCTTCTACCACTTTCGGAGAAAAACCAGACGCGGGTAATTCTTAAAAGGAACAGGCTAATTTCGAGCTACCACACAGGTGGACCATTCTGTCTGTCGTTAAACTGAATCCTAGTACTTGTTGTGCTCGTAGTTCAGTAGAAATTGCAGGTTCAGAACTGAACGAAAAATGTGACTTGGATGTTTGTCTTATATTTTCTAATTCAATGTCTAATCGCTTTATGCCAAGGTGTACTTTTTAATACAATGGTATGAAAAGGAATGAAAGTGCATAACTGCAGAGATATTGAATTTCCTCATGCTTTTGACTGGACACCATTTGTGTCAATCACTTTTTTATGAAGTGCAGAGGTGCTAACGTCTGTTTCCTAGTCAACAGTCAGGAATTTTGTGTCCATTTCAACGTGCAGCTTTACATTTCCTTCAAACGAAGTGATACTCATTTATTTACCTCAGAAGAATGATAGACGAGCCCAAAGACACAGGATTTTCAGCCCAAAGCTCTACCGACTGATCAACCCGGTCTGTAAGTGGCAAATACGTTTTACTGTAACCTTCCAAAAGTGGCAAATTCATTTTTTATGACTGAATATGACATTTTAACCTTTATGTAGGCCATTTACCAAAAATGCGCAAAGTTAGTTTGACACTTCCAGTGGTGTCGGTAAACTTTGTCCCCACCAGGACGTTGAAGTTAATTACCGTGTTGTTATTGTTCTTTGATTCATGCAATAAAAAACTGTATTAGTCGATTTATCCGCAAAGCAGCGGTACTAAGGAAGCCAAGTGTCTAGCAAACGTATTGAGCAACGTCTGTCGATGCATGAACGGAGAACGCATGCATTTTTCGCGGTGACACTCGCGACCGTTGACGCAGATCGTTCTTGGCGAACCGTAGACGACGAAGTACTGTATGAAAGGGAGCTAAAGCAGGCTTCTACGAATCGATTACCCGTTTCAGTGGGTACCAAGTACTGAGCAAGAGTCGAAACGATTAACCCCGCGCACTTCCGAGCGAATCCGCGTCAGGAACCCGTCCGTAATGATTTATGCATCATTTTTGCTGATCCGCTGTCGGTAGGCCTTTGGATAACCAAGCGAACGACTGCTATAGCTGAAGAAAATAGATCTGAAGCGAATGCTGAAATTAGCAAGAAGCTGCCTTAAGTTTGGCTGCTGAAGATAATCAGTAAGTGCTCTCGCTTGGGTAACAATCTTCAGAAAAATGCAGGAGCACAAATTCATAGAATATCCAACCATTGTTTGAAAGTGCCACCCAAGTTAGCAGAAAACTGAAGCTCAAGGGAATAAAGTAACAGGAGCATTTATATCTGTCCCATCTTCTCGTCTGGCCATGCTTTAACTGCTGGCACGCCACGTTTCTCTGACTTTACTTCACTACCATCTAATTTTATTAGGATTAAGATTAATTATGCTGTTACTGTTTGAATGACATAATCAATGAACACCGGTTTTCAGGATACGAAAGGGGATCATATCACAGAGGGCTCACTAATGCGTCTGATATATCCACCATCATTTAGCAAACAAGCAATAAATATAAGCAAGATTTTGACATCGGTGAAACAAAGATAAACAGGTTGAAGACAACAAATATAAATAGATCACACAATAAGGCGCAAATAAAAGCAAAGTGGAATGAGAATAATACTTCGTTGTACCAAGTCTAAACAAACAGTGATATTCAGCAGTCTAGGGATTCCAGAAAATCCGCGTTGAGATTGCCTAAATGATCTGCAAAACGCTGAGGTGCCATATTGGCAACGCTGTCTAGCAATCTGGTCATCTGAGCCAGTTATCGTGCCGCAGGTCAAAGATTCGATAATTCTTGACGATTTATCATTCTGAAAGCGATGCATATGACCAATTAGTTTTCGCTGAGTCACGGACGTAGTTTGCATCCCATCCGTTACTGTGCTGTCGGATGAGGATGAGGCGCAGATGAGAACGCCGATGTGGCTTTGTAGTGATAGCCAATTTTTTCATCGACCTTCGTTTAGCCTTGATGGCATAAGTAATGGGTATTCGTCCTCCATTATTATTTAGACGCAAGTTAATCAAACTCATTTGCCAACATCGAGTATCACGTCATTACATAACGTCAAGAAAGACGCCATCAGTTCATTTTCACATTGAATTAGCAACCGCCAAGGAGTTCAAGACGAATTTTAGCCTTAGTATTTCACTTCTTCATAAAGAATTTTCAGTCAAACAAAGACTATTGTTTTTATCTTCCTCATTCTGATGGTTCTTAATTTTTTTTATCTTCCATTAAAAGGGACAGGACGTTACCATTGGGTCACTATTTGAACCTGGCAGTAATTGGGAAACATCTTAGACCTTGCACTGGAATGCGAAAGTACTTCTGTTGCATGGGTAAATTTTCTACAACGACCGGAATCAGTGGTAGAACCGTACAATTAACGTTCCTCCGCTTCTTAGGAGGGTGAACGATTGCTGTCGTCGTCGTGTTGTTTTTGACACCGTCTGTCAAAACTAAGGCCGTCACTTTCAGACCAATTTCGACTGACTGAGTGCCACTGACGATTTTACTACCCAATTTAGCCGAAATTGCGCGACACGGCTCATTATTCAAAAGAAATTGCAAAGTTTCCTCGTTGGATCTTTTTCGTATTTAAATCTTGGTCAACGGTCATAAAAAGCCAAATGTTGTCGCCAACAGATACCGTTAAACCGTCGGCGTCACAACGACAACCTTCACCCTGACTGTCTAGTTAACCACGATGGCAAGCGGGTGTTTGTCACTATTTTACTTGTCATCTGCCAGCCTGGCTTCAGTTTCACTGCCGTATTCAAACACCACCGCTAGAGAGCAACGACATTCGTTTATTTTACTGCCGTCTTCGATCGGAGGAAAAGAAATATCGAAAGCGATCAGTTCATAAGTTTGCCCTATTTGTATTCAATGGAAATCTTGTAAACAGTACATTCGCAAACCGGAACCGTCTCGTCACGTCAATCTTAACCGACACTTCGACTCTTCTTGCCTTTCGTATTGACATTGCATGTATTCTTATAGGCTTGGCAGAAGTATTCATCGAAATGGAGTACACGTCAATGAAAACCAGCAACCCTGAAGCTTTATCGTTATACTACAGAACCAGTATTCTACCGGACGATACCGGCGCATTACCGATGAATACGACGAGGCCTATTGCTATAGTGTACCTGCGAATCGCGTACTGTGTTTTTGGAATACTTCAGATGATTGTCACGTGCATTACTCTCACAGTCACCATGCGGATCATGCAGACGCTCACGTGAGATACAGCACACTGTGATACCTGGAAAGCCTGGTCCTTCTGTGCTTTTCCATAATTAGCGAATAATTGTTTAAAAATAAAATTTGACATCGTCAGTTACCGGAACTGCAGATCATGCATTGCTGAACGGTCCTTTGCGTGCAATTTTACAGTAAGCACCGGTTTACGAAAATTTTACGTATCAGTGTTTCTCATAAAATGATGTGATCGCAGACATTTGCGCTTGGTATAGTCAAAAGAAAAATCAGAAAACCAGGCTTTTGGTGCATAACTCAGTATTCTGGAAAATAGCGTTGTTCTTCGCAGTCGCAACCCAGTAATATCGCCTGATATTAAGCGTTATTTTCTGTATTTAGCCAGAAATGTAACCAAATAACACATATTGTTACGAACGTATAACATACAACAATAATAACGTGCAGAAGCAGAGCTAAATATGAGATCATGCAACTAATGAGCAACGAGCATCCATCGAACAGCTCTGAGTCTTTCATGGCTGTGGCGAAAGAACGAGCTTGCAGAACCTCTATTTTTATGTTTTTGTACTCTTCACTTGTTTGAGGTGTCTTCCACAGATGGAAACCTTTAAACTCTTTGTCAGGTAAGACTAGACGTCACTGGTGATCCAAAATGGTACTTCTAACAAAAAATTGTGAACCGGAATACGAAAATAAATGGTTTTTTTGAATAGAGCTCGAGAAAATGGCTCTGGCATTGTACAGCTCTGCCTACTGAAGAATCACGTTGTATGATT